TCAGGTACCCGCCCCCCGGGGCTGGTGGCAGCGGAGCCAGCGCCTCGGTTTGCCAAAGCGGGGCGTGGGGAGAGCTCGGGAAAGCGCCTTTGCTGGAGCGGGAGAGCCCTTTGCCCCCGCTGGCCAGCGCGCTGTGGGGATACCAACTCCCCCTCCCCTCAACCAGCGTGTTCCCGGGCTCCGGCTCGCCTACCGAGCGGCACCTCGCTCCCCGCAACCGCAGTGGCAGGCCAGGAGCCTGGGGAGTGAGGGGGTCTCAGAGAAAGCAGGAGGGGCAGTAGCAGCCCCGAGTTCCTCTCCGATTTCCCTGGGAGAACAGGGCCCCACCCGGTTACAGATGCCTTGCGGCAGGGACGGGCGGTGGAGTGGGCACCTCTCACACCACTCCCCTGGCACCAGTGCGCACAGGCAGGGGCAGCCCTAGACTAGCTGCCAGCAACTCGTGCCCTAGGCAAACCATGCAATCGGGGCCCCCACCTCCAAACCCTCAATGATATTGCACCACTATTTGGCGCCCCATTTAACTTGGTGCCCTAGGTGACCGCCTAGTTCACCTATATGGATAGGCCATCCCTGTGCACAGGACAAGAACGCTTAGTTCCCATGGATGGAAACAGCGGTCTGTCTGATTTCAGTGGTGATAATGGCATTGTGTGGTACAGCGGGCAGCCGCTTCTCTGGCCCACTGAGCCGAGTCCCAAAGTTTGGGGGATTATGGCCAAGGTCAAACTGATTTCTCTTCAGGGCAAATGCTGCTTTCCCTTTTCAAGTATCAAAGGGGTAGCTGTGTTAGTCTGTAACTTTAAAAACAACCAGTACTTCTGTCGCACCTTAAGAGTTCATGATGGGATATAGATATTTGTTTATCTAAGATGCTACAGGACCACTGCTTAGTTTCCTTTTCAAGTGTAGGTATAGCTATCCGGAGTGACACCCCACCCAGCACACAGGTGCACAGTATGGAATGAACCAACTCACAAAGAGACCTGAGCTCCCATCTTGCTTCCACTGATATCTCTAGCAATTTCCCATGACCTAAAGGGAAAGGGGACTGGAGACTTAATATAAATCTCTTCTGAAATTTGTGGAAAAACTCACAAATCAGGTAAAAATATGGGTTCCTCGTATTTCATCATCAAGGGCAAAGCATAAGTACTGACCCTTGAAGAAATGACAGTGAAAATAAGGCCCATGGGAAATTCTAGGCAGACAATGAGGACTTGTCTGTAGGGGGAATTTCTGGGACAGTGAGCAGATGCACGCTATCTAGGCTAAAGGACAGAGATGGCCAGCTCACTAGCACCATGAAATTCTTTAAAGGAAAAATTGTGTCTCCTGCACCTGCGGCTCTTCTCATGGTCCCCTGCGCCGACCTTTTTTTCTTTGTCTGGGCAGAGCATCACTCAGGGCAGCAAGAGCTGATGCTGCAGCCAACGGAAGCCTGCTTGGGCCACATGCTGCTTTTAAAGGGGCAACAGGCTTTTTTTTTTTTTTTTTTTTTGGCTCTCTGCGCTGTATCCACCACCATTTTGGCTTTGTCTGTAATGGGTTGGCCACCCCACTATAGGACATCAGCTGCAGCAATAGTGTGTGCACAGGATAGCTATGTCCCTGTTTCCATTCACATTATTGTGTAGATGTCACCGGGCTTGGCATACATGGCATTCTGGGTGACTAGCCCAGGGATCTCTCTTTGGCTGCTGAGCTGGGTGCACTCTGGGATTGCTCTTGCTATGCCTGGGAAGATACATGGTAGAGACCAGTGGAATTTTGAGACTTTAGTTACTGATGTGCAACCCCACTGACTTAATTAGCATCACTCTTGATTTGCTGCAGTGTCATAATCAGGACCAGAGTTGCACCTGTGTTACTCCATTCATTCCAGGCATTGCTGCTGATTTGCATTGGTGTAAGGAGATCAGGTTGGCAGCACTTAGCAGAAAGTTGATAAAAATGTTAGTGAGAGGCTGCAGGGGAAGGCAAAGGGAAGGAACAGAGAAGGGATTTTGTCTTTCAGTACACTTACAGAGTAAAGGGTTCAGGGATGTGAATGTGTATTCTGAATTGTTCCAGTACTGTCATTTGAAAATATGCTTGCTTTTGGAGCTGTCTCTCATGCACATGCCAACTATGGTTGTTGATGATGATGATGACGACAACCCCAAAGGAAAAGTGCTAGGGACTACACATTTGTACAGTCTGTGAACTGCTCTCACAACGTGTCTGGCCACTCCTGAAGCATAGCCAAGTGTTGTAGTTAGCTCTGCCCTAGAGTCAAGGGTGCTAGTGTCAGCACTGTGGTAGGGTTCTGCACAGGTATGTTGGAAGTGCCACCATGCTAGTCACTCCCATGCACAGGCAGCCCGTTAGCTGTGCACTGTACAGAGAATAATCATCAGCTGTCTAGAAAGTTGCCAGTGCCCATCAGCTCATTTATTGGCCAATCCACCAAAAAGCTCCCCACATAACCACAGAAAGTTACAGGAGTGCAGGACCAGACTGCCACAAGCAACAATTTCTGGAGCTGCTTTTGTGTCAAGGAAAATCCAGACCTATTTTCTTAGTCCCCCTTCCTACATTATAGTGTGTTGGGATTATACCAAAAAAAACCCATTGTGTGGGATTTGGGGCGGGGATTTTCCAGACAGTTGCTCAGTGCATACCATTGAAGATATATATCGATTAATTGCCTAGGACAGAACTCTGTGCTGCACCCAGTCAGGGAACAGCAGTCCAGAGAATTAGCACAAGGTTTATGCACCAGTTAAACCTGAGTAAGCTCTCAAAATAAGGCTCACATGGGATTTAAGTGGTGCATAGACATTGTGCTTGTCCTCTGCATAGGGGTGAATTTTACCCACCACTAAGCCTACAAGTTGCTGACTCTACTCAGTCTACATCTGTCGGAGCAAATCTTATCTTAGTTGCTAACAGTGGCTGTCTCTGGAAAAGTAGCTGCAATAAGCCTCAGAATGGGACAGCAGTGGGAACTTCTGTACAACTTTAAAGCAGATGAAAACAAATGGGATGACAGTAAAGGCTTGTCTGTAAGGGGTTGTCCAGAATAGGAAGGCTAAGAATATTCAGTGCTACCACTATTCTGGAATAGCCATCCCTCTCAATTTCCACATGTAGGTAAACTCTTAGGCTATGTCTACACTGCAGGCTCCTTGCACAAGAACTGGCTTGCGCAAGAGTTCTTGCACAAAAGGTCTTGCACAAGAGCATGTCCACACTGACATGCTTTTGCGCAAGAGATGTGCTTTTGTGCAAGAGCATCTATGGCAGTGTGGACACCCTCTTGTGCAAGAAAGCTCTGATGGCCATTTTAGCCATCGTGATTTCTTGCGCAAGAAACCCCTGTTGCCCATCCACGCTGCCTTCTAGCACAAGAAGCCCTCTGTTCTGATGCTGTACTGTAAATTTACTTGTGCAAGAACGCACGTGTAAGCAGGGTCAGGGTAAACTCTATCCTGACATCTAGTGGCGAACTGTGGCAAGTGGTGCAAAGAGACTTCAGGGGCTGAGCCCAATTTGCATAGACACACCCACCCTGTCTAGTATGTGCCACAGCAGCCCAAATCGTCACTTTGGCCACTGTGGGAGCCCCAGTCTCTCTGTTATTGAGGCAGAGGGGATAAAAGTGTTGTTACCCTGATTATGCGAATCAAGGACAATGGAATGGTGGAACTGTTTATGACAGAGGGATTCGCCATAAACTAAGTAGCACTCGCTACACAAGGGGCATGGGTTCCAAACCCAGTCAAATTGAGAGAGGTTGGGGACAGGTCTTGGTACCTGGTGGTGGGATCCTGTTTGAGGGCCTAAACAACACTGATTGTACTCCCTCCACTGTGAAATATCAGAGTTAATTTAGATTCCATTAGAAGTCTAGTTGTGAACTGTGGAGCTAACTTTGCTGTGGGCCAGTGCTAAGGTTCCTCTGTTATGAGCTGAAATCACTGTGTGCTGTGCTGCGGATGAGAGCTGAAATCACTGTTGCTGAGGGGAGCCTGGCGCTGTGCTGCTAGCAGAGCAGTTTGCAAGGGGCAACCAGCAAGCGCAGGCGGACAGTAGATGCAGCTGGTGGGGCAACCTGAGGGCAGACAGCGAAGCCGCTGACGGGGGTGGCCTGCGGCTGGTAGGAGCGGCA